ATCACATCCAATTTATCTGAAACTAATAGAAGAAAAAAGAAATTGAAGTTGAACAGAAGAAATTATAAAAATTTGAATAAATATTTCTTAAATCTTTCTAACATTAAAAAAATGATATATATGATAATTATATATGATTTCATGGATATGTGGAATTTTAAGAAACAAGGCAGAGGATCATAGGGGAAGAGAAGAAAAAATGAAACAAGATGAAACCAGAGAGGGAGACAAACCATAAGAGATTCTTAATCTCAGGAAACAAACTGAGGGTTGCTGGAGGGGAGGGGGGTAGAGGGATGGGGTGGCTAGGTGGTGGACATTGGGGAGGGTATGTGTTGTGTAAGACTAATGAATCACAGACCTGTACCCCTGAAACAAATAATACATTATATGTTAATTTAAAAAATATGTCAAAGGTGATGGGATATCACTCCCTGATTATATTATATAGTAAAGATGAAGAGATTTTTTTCAGATGTAAAAATAAAATGATATATAAAACATTGATATTTTGGTGCCATTTTATCTCAAATACATTTCAAACAGGATCTACTGTTTTACTTCGTAAAGAAAGATAATAATTATACTTCTTTGCCACCTCCCCTCTGCTCTTTGTGCATATCCTCTTGTTCCTTCTGGTTATACTAATGTAACTTGGGGAGAGTTTTATCTGTTTGTTTTAAGTTGGAGTGGGGAGGGATCTGTGCTTGTTTTCTGCTTCATTTGGATTTGTTGTCTCAGACACCCCCACCCAATCTGTTCTGTCCTCTGCATTGGGAGAAAATTCTGTTTTATAGTTGGTCATTAGGCTCATGGTTAAGTGACCTCATTCACAGACTTTCTCTGTTTGATCTGGTGCATACCACTTCTTTTCCCTCCTGAGCTCTTGATCTACAGCAGTCTTGCTCCGTCCCGGGGCGGGGGGATTTAGGGACAGTCAGGATGGCTGTGTGCTGTGTGTTTCCTCCTCTTGATTCTCTGCGGTCTGGGGGTGTAACCAGATCTTGTTAGGGACTCCCCACTACTCCCCAGCCAGCCTGCACCCAGAGATTTCATAAGGATTGTGATACTTTCTTTTTGAGGAGTCTGTGTGCTGCTGAGCTCTCAAGAGGATAATGAGGAGTGTGCACTTACTTTGGTCCAAATTTCATTCTAGATATTACTCATATTTCATAATTTGTCACTGTGACCATCTCTTTTTCACTGACTATGGCTTTCTTTTTTTGCTTTATTATTATTATTAGGCATTTTTTTAATTAGGTATTTTTGAATGTGTTAAGTCCTAAGACATGGAGACATTGTATCATGTATCTAAAATATAAAACATTGAGACATTTTATGCTTATTCTGGCATTGAAAGGATAGGGAGGCATAAAGACCTCCTTTGCCCTTTGTGTCTCCCTTTTGTGGGTTTAAGTCAGAGTGGAATGTATTATATTTCAACATCTGACCTATGACTTCCAGAAGAGGCCATCATTTTCCCATAACTCATCTTCCAGTTATTAAATGAAGTAGTTTGTGCATCTCTACCCGTATCAATCAAGTGTTATTTTTATGGACCCACACATGGATTCATTTACTAGGGCTTACCCTAACAAAGTTCCACATACAGGGTGGCTTAGATCAACAAATGTGTTGTCTCGCAGTTCTAGAGACCAGAAATATGAAATCAAATTGTCAGCAAGGCCCTCTGAAGGCAACAGGCCTGTCTCTTAGCTTCTGGTCCTTCCTTAGCTTGTGGCAGGCCTAGCATCAGTCTTCACATGGCATTCTCCCCGTGTGCATGCAGGTCTCTGTGTCCAAATTTCTCTTTTATAAGGACACAGTCATGCTGGATTATGGTTCACCCTCATGACCTCATCTTAATTTATCATCTGCAAATACCCTATTTCCAAATAAAGTCCCATTCACAGATCCTTGGAGGTTGGGACTTCAACATCTTTTGGGGGGATACAATTCAACCCATAACAACCCCGTACAGACTTGCTGGCCTCATTTATTCCATAGGATGTTTAGCAATGAATATATACAAAACATTAGGGAAGGTATAATCCTGCCATGTATTTTCCTTTTGCATATACATGAGCTAACGGGTCATAAAGGAAATACTACTTTTTATTCTGATGTTACATTCTGCATTGCGAGTTTGAAGCTTTGAGACTGTTAGCATTAATACTGATGTTATGCTTTTTACTTTTCCTAAGGAGTGGTCACCTTTATTGGCACAACAGATTATTCTATCTCTATGTAACAAGATAGAATTTATGTCCTCCAGGTTCTTGCAGGAGCCTAAGACCTCAAGCTCTCTGCTGTCCGGTCTTCATCTCTCTAGGGAAAAAAAGGAAATATTCACGGAGGTGATGTTGCTGCCTTTTATGCCTTCTCCCTTTCAGTCTGAAAAGCACCACTTTATTCTATATTTGTGTATTAGATTTTCATGTAAAAATTCACCAATGAACAGAGGATTCTAGAGCCAAAATCACTAGAAAACTACTCTAGCTATTTTAAAATTATAGTTTTGGACAAAGCTAGGTCATCAGAAATTTTTTTTATCTTCATAATAGAAATGTTTTCATTGAATTGATTTTTGTGTTATTCCAAGGATGTGCATGAGTCAAATTTGCATGGTTTTATTTTAGAAATGTTGATGATATTCCCTGTGTCATACTGCATTCCCTTTTTGAAAACACACAGGAGACCTGTAATTTTGGTCTCAGTTCTGGGAAAAGTGTTTCTCCTGAGCACTTTTTTTTTTTTTTTTGTCTTTTTGTTTTATTTTTATCCTATGGGCACGGTGAGTTATGTAACCTTTCATGATTTTTTTCTTCTTTGCTTTGGCCACTGGTTTCAAAATCAAAATTTGAACAGCTATGTGGATTATATACTACCTCATTATTTCATTTTAATTTATTTTTAATTTTTTTTCATTATTTCATTTTTCAACCCCAATTTTTCCTTGCCCTGGTTTTTGGTTATGGTTTTTTGGTTTTGTTTTAAATTTTATTTATTTATTTGAAAGAGAGAGCAGATAGAGAATGCATACAAGGTGGGGAGGGGCAAAGGGAGAGGGAGAAGCAGACTCCCCGCGGATCAGGGAGCCCGATGTGGGACTCATTCCATGACCCCAGGATCATGACCTGAGCCAAAGGCAGACCTTAACTAACTGAGCCACCCAGGCGCCCCTAGTTTTTGTTTTTTGTGCAGAAATTATCAACCTTACCTTCTTATTGACTTATTCTTCTCAAATGCTTCTGTCGTATCTGACAACACAAGTTGCCTGATATTTGTATAATAAAATAGAGGGCGCCTGGGTGGCTCAGTCGGTTAAGCGTCTGCCTTCGGCTCAGGTCATGATCCCAGGGTTCTGGGATCGAGTCCCGCATCAGGCTCTCTGCTCTGTGGGGAGCCCGCTTCTCCCTCTCCTCCCCACTTGTGCTCTCTATCTCACTATCTCTGTCTCTCTCAAATAAATAAAATCTAAAAAAAAGTTTTTTCAAAAGAAAAAATAAAATAGAACATAAATAAAAATAAATAATATAAAA